AACTTTGCATACCTTCTCTGTCATATGTAAGCTATCATTTGGATGTCAAGCACTAAATATATGACGTGCATCTGTTAAGTTATGACGTCATAATTGAGTATAATACAGGATCTAACACCACTTTAAGTCAACAAGGGAAATTGGGAGCTGCTATTCGGGCACCGGGAATGGTTTCATGCACTTCTTGCAAGGTCCAGTGCTTGACTTAAGCATTGTTGACTTTGCGTGACGTCATTTATGACGTCACTAAGGCCATATAAGTTTTTCGTCAATAACTCCTGATCAGATGGAGCTAGAGAGTCGGGAAAGCCACCATTGGACTCAGGAAGACCTGCCGAATCGAATGATATGCAATATGACCTCATTCAACCATTTTCGTGACCTGAGGGGCTCCGACCTGACCTTGACCCGAGGTTAACACCTTAAGTTGAGTTCACCCGAACACCAAGTATAGCATTCAACGCGCCTGAGCTAGACAAACACGATGATGCCAAAATCGCGGCAGTGCGACCATTTTTTGGTAAAGTAATTAACCTAAAACCGAACCCGTGCCTTGTGGCACTTACGTGACCTAAGAGGTCACTGGCTGACCTAAGACCTTAAAATCGGGTAGTACCTGATTTTTGCGTCTTATAACGGCACACAAGCTTTTTTCCGCGAGGCTCTAGCTCAATTAGAGGCGAAACGGCGAGGGAGTTGTACCAACCCTCCCCGGTCAATATAGAAAACCAATCGGTCCGGCCAGGGTTAAATACCGGAATTGTAATCTAATGTAACTAAAGACGACCCAAGGTAACCTGACGTCAGTGACAGGTGTCCTATATTTGCAGCGTCTTATATTCACGAAGGTTTCAATTTCCACTTTCTTCAGCCGAGTGATGGTTGTCAATAGCAAGGCTCTCTAAATGCAAGCCGTAATCGCCACGCAATATGTGGAAGGCTTTTGATGTCAATACATACATAAATGCATACATAAAACGCGCTTTTCACAAAATTCATAAACTCAAGCGCATCTGTTTTTAATGACCAGTCAACTACGCATGGATGCGTGCAGGCCACACAGGTCAGCGTAAGCCGGGCGCGGCGGCCGAGCCGAAACTGGGGCGGGGCGGGCGGTAGTTGGGTAGGAAGAGCGGCTCCTGCAAATTTTGCGCAAATATGCGCAGTTAGCTTTTATGTTGCCCTGGTGTGAATTTAAATCCTACTTCATCTCACAAAAAATCAGAGTGGAACTAGATGGGACTACCTGTTGTTTCCTTACCTAAACTTTGCAGTTATATTCCAGAATCACTGTAGGAGAGCCTTCATAAAAAAGCTATAGTACATCTTAGTTAGGGATTTAATATGCCAAAAATTTTGCACTGACCAGTCGGCAACTTCATAACGAACATTTTGATGCATAATATGTGGGATTTCAATTTGGTGTCTATCAGCAATAAGACTCTGAATATCCGGCTCAAGAAACCTCCTGCTCCGCGTCAGTTTCCGAGTTCTGGGATACCCCATCTTCGGGGGCTGATTACAGTTATTTTTGGTCACCCGGATTAGTTTTTTGACCTAAGTATAATAATTTGATCAATTTCAAATCGATCTATATAAAAAATAATCCGAAACTCCGGAATCGCCCGTGGCCTCTCGTGAGGGCGTTTCCGACCAGTGTGCGGCGGTGAGGGGGCGGTCCGTCCGGCGGAAACGCAGGGGCCGCGGAGAAGAGGAGAACGCTATGTTTAGCCTCTGAGGCTGAAGTGGAGGAGATGAGCCGGCAAGTGGCCTGAGGGGACGGGGACGGGCGTGGTCTGTGGAGGGCGTGGTATGCGACCATTGAAGAGCCTGCTCAGTGCTCAGTGCGAGCTGATGGAATGATGCCAGCGGCGGTGGTATATCTGCGCGAAGCTGCTCGTGGCGGCTCTAACTGCTTGGCCATCCGCGGCATCTGGCTCTCTCGTGTCAGTGTGGCGCTGTGCTTCCTTCACTCTCTAATCTCGGAGGACATTATGGCAAACAGCTGTTGGTTTCTTGGCTGGGCGCCCCATGCTGAGGCGCCATGACGTCAGTAATCTCCTTTGGGTCGGCCGCCCCACGTGCTCTCTCCCCCGACGGAGTTCGGATGGTAGTACTCGGGGAACAGGGAGGAGGCGCCGCATTTCCTGACTGTCGGAGCGACACAGCCGATCGATAGTACTCAGAGCCCTGCAGCGGCTCTCATGGCCGGGCCAGCGGCCCGCATACGACGGGCGCGCATTGGGGCATCGGTGCTCAAAGAATGACTTCTGGTGCTCAGACCAGGATGGCACTGGTGCTCAGACTAGGTCGTTCGGTACCAAGATGCTTGCACATTGTGCTTTCAAGTTTTAAAGAAAGATGCAGCTCAGTCCCAACAACAAATAAACCTGAGCTCTTGGCTGTAACAGTGCAGCTCACACCATACAACAAAGCCCAGACCTGACTGGACCTCAGATCTCTGCCCGATCTAAGTCACGCTGTCTGTGTGGAGACGCCAGTTCGATGCCGCTGGGTCACGGGTGGAAGGCACTCCCCTCTGTGTTCAGTGACGACAGCCGTTTGGTCGCCTCCGTACCGGGAGTAAATATGCACACACCGATGTGTGCAAACGAAGGTGAGGCTGCTTAGTTACACTGGAAATCGAACACGGACTTGTGTACCGTCTATTCACGACGAACACAGAACATGCTGTGCTGATGATCATGATGAAATAACGCCATGAAATAGTTACATCAGAGGAAGACATCCGAGCCCGACAGCTTCTCGCTCCTTCGCTGTCTCCTTGTCCCTCGCTCGTTTAGTTCTCTTGCAATCGTATTTCTCCTCAGCTCACGAACAGCGCCGTGGCGCAATAGATCCAGTCACGGCGCAGCTGAGACGGCAGTGGCGCGACTGCGGCGTTAGCGGCGCTCGTGCCGCGGCCCATTGTCCGACCTCTGACGACGTCCTGTCATGACATCCGCTGCGCCAGGTGCCGCAAGGTTTTTGCTGCGCGGCTTAGCGGGCCGGCCATTTGAGCCGGCCCGCTGCCGGGTGGACCCCTCCTCAGCCGTATTTTGACACCGTACAGAGAGTGGTCCTCAACTTGGTCTGGTTCCCATTCATAGTCCTTTGATAAGAGCAGCATGCCAGCTGCCTGAGAGGCGAGAGCACCACGGCGACGGTGCCGCAACACTGACGCGTTACCATGGCGTTTTGTTTTCGTTGCGCGCCGGCCGTGTGTGCTAGCGCTCGACAGGCGATGTTATTCAATGGCGCCGCGTGTCAGCCTGTTTGCAATGGGTGACGCAGCGCGCCTGAAAGTGACGACTCCACAAACATGAAGCCTGTAGCCTATTCCGGGCTTCAGTATTGACACAACACTTCAATATTACAGTAATACTCAGTTCAGTTGCCGCCACTGACGTGTCGCGTTTGACAATCGCCCGCACAGTGACCATCAAAACACCACGCTGGGACCTAAGTAACTGATCCTCTCATCCTTCCCCACCCCACGGGTCCCGCTCGTCCTCCAACCACCAAACTAGAGCCGGACGCGGACTGCCGACGGTGACCCGCCGAGCCCGTCAGACTGGTGACCCGAATGGCTCGCACAGTGACCATCAGAACACCACGCTGGGACCTAAGTAACCGAGCTCCGTCATCCCTTTCTCTCTGATCCCGTGGGTCTCCTCTTCTCCTCCAGCCTAGAGCGGAGCGCGGGCAGCTGACGATGACCCGCCGAGCCCCCCCCCGTGCCCGTCGTCCCGACCGTGCCCACCGAGCCCGTCGTGGCCGTCGTATTCCGACCTCCGATCGACCGGCGGCGTTCTCCGAACGGCGGCGTCACGGTCGTGCCGAGAGGCGGCCGACGCTGTCTGTCGGTCGCGCGCGGCCCGTTTAACGAGCCCCTTTCAGCGGCGCCGCTCGTGATGTACTCAATAGGACGGCGGCGCGGCGCGTGCCGCATTGATTTCGGCGGCCGCCGCCGGCCAGGGCCAGGGTAGTAATCCGATGGTATGTGACTGTGGCGGCGCGCCGGGAGGTGCTGAGAGGAGTGGGTGGTGGGAGCAGGTCCACGGGGTGGGACTGTAGCGGACAGTGGGCGGTGGAAGCACTGGTCTGGTGGGACTGCAGTGGACAGTGGGTGGTGGGGTAGCCGCGTCTAGTGGGACTGCGGTGGATAGCGTGCGGTGGGACTGCAGTGGACAGTTGACGGCGGGAGAATCCTAGTCTGGTGGGACCGCAGTGGACAGTGGATGACAGTCGGACCGGAATGGAGCGAACAGCAGGTGCACCTTACCGGCATCACCTGCGGACCAAAATACCGCCCAACCTGTTATAACTTCCGTCATTATTTATTCAAGCACTTGCGACTTTTAAACGTCCTCATTAAATGGAACAAAGTTTTAGCTAATGCGATTCAACAGCAATCAGTTTATATTCGTAATAATTTAGCAACACAAAGTGCCCCGACCCCACGACAATGAAAACCAGCCTTCACCTAATCGGTAAATGCATCTATGTCACTAACATTTTGAGCCCCGCCTTCCTTTTCTGTATCTAAAATAGACGAGTATTTTTAGGTCTAGGAGTGTTTACATTGCCCTATCGTTTAATCTTTTGTGTAACCAGTGCCATGGCCGAGGACAGTTTTATCTAGGCTAGCCAGATCTGCACAATCTAGCGCTTTTAGATAATTTATAGAATCGTGACTATTACGCGCTCGCAGACGTGCAGAATTGGGTACAATGAATTGTCTAATGGGGGCGTTTTGCCTCTCGCACATAAGATCACGGTCCGTCCGTACCTCTGCGAGCGCTGTATGTAGACCAAACGGTCTCCAGTCGCTATACGACTTGGATCGAGATTTCTCTTATATGCGCTGCAGTGTGCAGAAAAGTGCAATAGGGTTCGACTCTCTGCCATAGTCATTGACTCTCTAGGCTCTAGTGCTCTCCAGTGTTATACAGTGAGGTGAACTAGCGCGTAGTCAAACTGGCTCCTCTCCTTTTTAGGGGCTTTGGCTTTGTCACCTACAGCGACCCGGCTAGCGTAGACAAAGTTTTAGCGAGCGGCACCCATGAACTAGACGGCAAAAAGGTACGGACTCTGGCCCTTCTTTACGTGTGGTGCTGGTGACTGTTGTGTCGTCTCGCCTCCGTACGATCTGGTGCCAGACGGGGCTGGTTTTGTGGTGTTGGGGCTTGTGATGGTGCCGGGGCTGTATGAATTGCTTTGGATTGCATGGGTTTATTCATTGCATGACTGGATGAATTATCAAGCGAAACAGTGTCCTGTTCACCGTCTAACGTTTCATTGCAGATATGAATTCTGCCCTTAAGTGCACTTGCTTCGCTGCATGTAAAATGACTGCATTCTGCTTTGTTTTCAGATATCATTCCCTTACCTGCAGTTGTGTGAAGTTTAACCATGAGGCCGCTTAGCAACTGGCTTGCTTAATGCCTCTGCACTTTAGGGTCTTAATCGGTGAACTGCCTGAAATAATCTGGCCAACTATTTTGTACTTGGCAATTGGCATTTATACCTTGCTTTTAATTCAAATAACTCTTATCATTTATCTCTACAAGAAACATGATTTCACGTAACGTTTTAAGTGCTATAGATCGTTAACGTCATTGCAATATAATGCACTAATTTTCAACATCACAATACATTCAGATGTCGCTACACCCCAAGGATCGACCTGACCTTTTAGGGACAGCGACGGTGCAGCCGCCACGTGATCCTCGCGGGGTCGATTCGACACGTGTATGACCATCTGAGCTTCACGCGGCGGCACGTGCGCACGTGCACGAAATGACCATCAGCCGGTACTGATTAACACAAGGCTGCCGAGAAGAGGGCCGGAAAGAAGAGAGGAGGGAAAAGCACAGACGGGGTCCGATCCGAAGCTACCATGCTTCGGGCCCATGCCCGGTTCAAAAGGAGAAGAGAGCGGTGATGATGGCTCCAGCCAAGAAGAGGAGAAAGCGATGGAATTCATTCTTACAACGCAAAATTGTTACGTTTCCCAGAACCATACTCACCAAGATCGCTGCAACGCCGTGCAAATTCATTGATAATTAACCACAGGTTGAAACTGTCTCCCAAATGAGCCGTCCGCAGCTATTCTCGGAACAGCTCGCGGTACCGAGCCGCTCCACATTGGCGCTCCGTTATCGCCCGCGGGCCTGTTTGCGCCCTCCCCCCACACCGGCCCTGTCACCGCTGCAGACTGTCGGTGCGTTCTTAATGGTCCGCGCTGCGAACGACCAGCTGGTATCGAATGACCCGCCCCTCCAGGGCTGCGGCACCAGGCACCGGTTTAAGAGAGGGGTACCGAAAGCCCCCAGCGAGTTTCTGGAAACGACATCAGTGAAAGAAACATCACAAGGAACGCACGCGGGTAGCGTCTAGACGTTTCGGGGATGTTATAAGGGACGTCGCATGGTCCTTCTGAGGCTGTACCCCAGCTCGTCGTCTCTCCGAGTTCTCCAATCGGGCGCGCATTCCCCACCATCTGTCACGACGCGGAATGTGACGCGGCGCGTCGTCACGCGTGACGTCAGAGGCCGGCTCGCGTCACGGCAATGGTGCTCGTAATGGGCGTATCGGCGAGTGTAGGCTCGGCCCGGTGGCATCTGTTGGCGTACACATTTACACTCTCGCCCCGCCCCGGACAGAGGCAAATTCCTAGCCAAAGGACAGAGTTACAGCGACCGAAATAATTTTTCTTGACTCAGAGCTGTACCGTCACGTTTCTCATATCTTTCATCGTAAGTTTTTCTTGAATATAAAGTCTTTCTGAAAGAGCGAAACATTTAGGATGCAACAAGAGCCTCCTGCGTGCCATCAAAACTGTCGGCCAAATGGCAAGGAACCATCTCCAACGATTCGGTACATTCGCTCTTTCGGCCACCCGCACCGGACCGGGCCAATGTGATGGAGCTGAAGACGTTCATCAGCCGCAGCTGCGCACTCGCTTGGTATTCCGTACGGTTATTGTTTGGCTCTGGACCACAGCGCAAACTGACGGCCGGGCAGGCCGAATTGGCCAGTCGCCGCCGTGTATTTGCAGTCACTGCATGCCAGCAACGCTACAAAACACAACTTTAATTTGCCGTTCGCTAAGGCAGAAGCCGAATTCAGGCGACGTACTGCGCATGCCGGCCAGTGAACCGCGAAGGCGATCAAAACAGATCAATGCGTGTTCAGTCAATTATTATTCTTTGGACGCCGACATCCCCGGTCGGTCGTTTGTCGTATCGGTACGACACTGAACTTTTGCATGCAGAGCTTGCCTTGTTAAAGAAATCCTTTTCATCAAATATCATGTTCCGCTGGAAGTTGGGTCAAACTTTTTAATGGAAGCCAAATTGTGGGGGTAAAATAGCTATTGGCGTCTCAGCCATCCAGAAATGCGGAGACTTGCTGCGTGGCGAGCCACTATCTGGCTAACCGAACCAAAACGCGTTGCGTGCAGCTTGGCCGTCAATAGCAGATCAATTAAAGCCGTTCCCTGAAAATCGGACCTTTATAAAACGGCCCAGCCGTCCAAGTTGGCCGCGTCTTCGATAGTTCCTTCGGCTGCTTCACGTGGAGACATCGCGGGCGTCCTCGATTGATTCGCCGGGTGAACGGGGTACCGCACGTATGAGTGAACACGGTGGTTGCGAGCTTTCCATGCACTCTGCCAGCGGTGCCTAAAAAAGTAGTCTCCCTTAGGTACATCGAAGATGGCTGATGGTTTTTGTAGGGATTACGATCAGTGGGGTTAAAGAGGTGAAACACTTCCCCATTTTATAATTTGGTTGAGCTCCTGACCCACGGCTAAGGGAGACACTGGACACCCTCTGCTACCGCCCGGAGTAGGGCTCACCAAATGTGCAAATTGGGTGTGATTGTAGCGCCAGAGGATGAGTTGAAAAGCGGCCCGACCCTGGCTCAGACACGGTGCAGTGCAGTGTGGGACGAGCCCTGTGAAAGAGGAGCGCGCCAACAAGACCATCTGCGGAACAGGCGCCGGCTGGACGACACCTGGAACCGCTCATGTTGAAGGGATAGCGGCCGGAGACTGACGTCAACGGAATCTGTTAGCGAGATATAGCTGGCAAGTTAGCGCCAACTCGTGGGACTTCGCCAGCGGTATGCGTTCATCAGAGCGATAAAACGAGGTCGCTTTACATACACCAAGAAAAGATGACATGTGCGTTGCGAGATACAAAAATGCGCGTTGTCAGATACAGGAGACAAATTCAGGCGCTAAAAGTTGCAGAGGGCAGCATTCGCCAGACATAACATCGCAGGTAGATAACATTACACATTACATTCCACATCTCATCATCCAGTCACTTTAACGGTGAGAAACCCAGCACCCGATCGGTGCTGCCCCATCAGAACAGTGACAGTTTAATCAGCAGCATTAGCTGCTGCCACTGCGGCCTGCGGATCGGTGTGAACTACACCCAACACCCGGCAATTAGAGGTCGTGCCGCCGCCGGCTGGCGAGGCCGGTCAGAGCGTGAGAACGAGGAACGGAACCGGTCCAGTGGCGAGCGGGGCAGAGTGCCGAGTGAGCGAGGCTGGGTGAGACCAAAACGAACAGCGGTGACGAGGGCGCTGGACGAGACTGAAACGAACAGCGATATCGAGTGGGACAGAATAGAGCGGAAAGTCGCTGAGACTGAAGTGAACAGCAGAACTGAGAGACAGAACACAGTGAAGGGTCGAGCAGTAACAAGAAGAGCAAAGGAGCGCTGAAGGACGAGCAATGCTGGGGTTCGAATTGGGCAGAGCGATGAGGTAAGGTTAGGAAACCGATGAAGGACATTGCAGGTCAGCCAAGATAGGTATAAATCGCCCGTCCAAAATCAAGCCAGCTACATGCTGTGCGGCTGTCATCGCTGCAACCCGCTCAGAGTTGACGGACAGCCAATGGTTGGCGGACTGACACTCATTACACACAGCCAGTGGTTGACGGGCGGATGACTACGGATTGCCGGACGGACGGTCATTGGTTGATGGACGGACGAAAGGATGAGTGTAGTCGTAGTTCCACTTGGCTGCTGCTCTCTGATCACTGCCGTAGTCATTCATTCAGTGGAACATCGATAGGGAGGCAGCTGCTGTTAATGTAGCTGAGAGGACGTGAATTTGGGGTTGCACCCCCACACCCGGGGGTGCAACCATCCACACCCGGGTGTGGATGGTTGCAGCTATATGTACACATCATGGAGATAAGAAATCGATCCAGAATCATGGATATAGTTCACGATTTTCTACCTTATTGTAGGAATATATTATGCATTATTACTAGTTAACTAGCATACATGAAGACGGGAAAACTTGCGAGATTAGACAACACGAAGTCATGAAGTTGTTATGTAACGGTGTAAATATATAATTAAATTAATCTTCAAGGCATGTCCATCACTGGAAACCATTTCATGACGCGTCCACCCGCATGACCCCGTGCGCTGCCAAACATAGCATGTACTACTGGCTCCGGACTATGCACCTTCCTCAAGCATTGGCACTGACCCCAGCGTGTTTGCACCGTCTGCATGTTCCTCAGTGAGTTCATTGAGCACGCGCTATGTGCCAGCATGTTCAGTGTGCTCCGTACAATGTTCAGTGTGCTCCGTCTGCGCGTATGACAGCCGTCACGTGGGTGACAGTCATCACACCTGTGTCGTACTGATTAAACTTTGACCGGGCGCGGCCCGCTCCCAGCACGGACACACCTGCCGTCGACCCCCCCCCCCCCTCCGTCGGTGCAAATGGCCATCAGTGCGGCCCGTCGGTGACTGATGGACTCCGTCGGGGGCGACGCAGCGACATCGCCGCCGTCGACGGCAGGTGGCCTCGAGCTGGGACGGGTCGTGTCAATGTACGGGGGGGGGGGGTGAATCATTGCTGCCGTTTGTTTACTTGCCGATCTGTTCCGAATGCATGCTCCGACAAAGGGCTGTTAAACTTGAAACTGAAGTTCTATAAGCTGTTTGCTTGTGTGAAAAAATGCTCATTTGACTTTATGTGCTAAACATGTGCCAATTTCTTTCAGATCGACCCCAAACTGGCTTTCCCTCGGCGAGCGCACCCAAAGGTAAGTCCTCTCAACGGTCTCGACTATCGGTATAGTCACTCTGTATAACTCATTGACCTCTCCGGTCCTCTGCACCACCACCCCCGGTCCTCTGGTGACCCTCCCCGTCCCCGGCTTCCGTTTCCCCTCCGGGGCCCCCGTCCGTTCCCAGGCCGGCTGCAGCCGCCGTCAGCCCGGTTTATACCGTCCTCTCGTCTGCAGCTGCAGTCGACACGAGCTCGTCAAACCCTTCTCCACAGCTTTCGGCACACGTGTCGGCACCTTTGATCGGTCGCGGGAGGGGCGCCGCCGGCCCTTGAGTCACGCCCGCCAACAACAATCGCCTCTGCTGTGCGCTCCTGCAGTGTCGGAGCGGCCCTGTGGCGAGCCCTCCGCGGGGAGAGGGGCGCGCCGCCGTCGGCCGCGGCTCGAAAAGCACGGCGCGTTCCACTCTGGTATCCCAAGAATCTGAGACTCGCGGCAGGACGGCCGTGTGCAGAGGGTGTTCTGTTTTCGTCATGTTTGCGTCGACGGCGGCGATGCGCCGGATGTTCTCATTTCACGTTGATAGGGAGTACGCGGCACGCATGTGCTGCTTTCCGTTTATCTCTCTCCGTGGTGTTCGCAAAACCGCGAACCCCCTTGCTCGCAGCGGTGGCAGCGGCGTGGTACGTCCCGCCGCGACAGGTCCCCTGGGCTCCCACCGCCGCCGCCGCGCCGTCCCGAGACAGCCCTCTCCTCGCCGCCGTCTCGTCGACGGGTGCCAACACAAGCGGGCCGTCGCCGGGTCTGTGTCGACAGCGACGGGCCGGCGACTCGTCAGCGTCGGCCGGCTCCGTGTCCGTGTGTCGGTGCCGGCTCGTCTTGCCGCGGTGTCGATCCGTCACTGACGCTGCGCGACTGTCGGCAGCGTCGCTCCTCTGCTCCGCCGCGCCGGCAGCAGATCTGACCTCCTCAGCTGTCAGCGGCGCCGGAGACATACTCTGCCCCTCCCCGTCGGTCCCGGCGGTCTCCGTTTCACTCGCGGCCGGCTCGTTTAATTATGTCGGTCATGAGCGCGCCAGGCCCGCCGTCGCCGTCGCGTCTCCGCCCGCTGTGGAATCGACAAGCCTCCGTCGCTGAGGCGAGTTCCTGGGAGAGGCGGAGGAACGCGCTCGGGCCCACGTGTCTGGTGACATGGACTCCGCTCCGCGTGCCACGGGCACGTGTCCCAGCGACAGACGCCATCTTTGATAGGGGCCCCACCTAGGGATGCCATAGACCAAGCCTTGAGGCATTCACAGACCCATCCCCGAACCCGAGCTCTCCTGAATTCCCCCGGGCTCTCTCAGGCTCTCTGGATCTTCTCGGGGCCTCTCGGCCAGTTCCGAGCCACGTCTTCGGAGATAGATGCCGCGCGGGAGCGTCGCGAATTGGATCGGTGATATTTATGGCCGCCGGTATTGAGATAAATACGCGGCTGCCGGCCAGAACCATTGACGCTCGGTCCAGGCGAGGACGGCGGCGCCGGCCGGCCGGCCCCAATCGAGCCCGGCCAAGCACCGCTCATTGAGGGCGCCACAGGACCATTTTCCGCCGGCAGCGAGCGGCGGCCGCTCCGGCCCGCCCTAGGGATACAGTCGGAGAACATGGGCCTGGGAGACAGATGGACGTAGAATGAGACCGAATAAAAGCTGTTTATTGCGTGATATCACGTGTCTGAACTACTAATGCTTTCAGCTCGGCACAATTGGTTCTGGGTTCTGATTACTTTCATGCAGTCCGCAATCATGAACTGGCTTGCATGACCAAAAGTTTCCACGCAGTCCTCACCCGTCACCCTCAATATTTTCCATCTGCCGCCCCCCCCCCCCCCCACCCGAGACGATCTGCCCTGTCATCGTCGGAGGCGCGCGTTTGTTATCCCTCTCCGTGATTGGTTCTAACCGATCGCGAGGATTGTTTGTGTAAACTGCACACCAGCCGCTGCAGCGAGCCGGCAGCAAAAACACAGCGTCCGGACGGAGTTGGGCGGCCCGGGGACTGGATCCGACCCTACGAGCGGCGGACGGGGAGCGAGGTCTGGTCGGTGGTCAGTCGGGAGACGTGGTCAGGTGGTTCATAGGATCGGGCAGCCGCGGTCTGAGCACGAGGCGGATTCTAAAGTTTGTGCCCTTTTTAGGCAGATGCTGTTGAATATTTACGTCATAGCCAAGCTGTAGCAATATTCCTGTGCATTCTAAACCAAACTAAATAACAACGCTCCAACAATCTAGCGCCATTTCCTAACCTTCGTCATTGCCTCTGCCCGACCCTTTTCCCATCGTGACTCCGTGCACCCCGTGCCGTCACCATTCCACCTCTGGCAGCGCCGAGCCGCCGACTTTCCAGCCAGGCCGTTTTACGCTCCGTCACCTCCGCGATATCTCGGCGCCCCCTCCCTGCTCCCCTGCACCCCTCCCTCCACCCGCGGGAGGGCCCGGCGGCGGCGCAGGCATTTCTGAACTGTCGCCCGCGACGCGACGCATTTCTGCCCTGCTATTCATCGTCGTCACGGGCAGATAGGAAGCGCGAGCAAAAACAGAAGCGCCGCGCCGACCGACGGATGCCACCCGGGCCGGCTCTTTATGCCATTAATTAAGTCGTGCTGTGTAATTAAGAACAGTTTGACGTAAATAGGCGGCCAATTGATGCCGTGCTATCGGATGACACCAGATAGACGCGAGAGAGTTCTCAGGTCAGACTGAGCCGCCTGGAGTCGGCGTCGACGCAAGGAGATTGCCGGCGCCAAATTGGCTGGTTTTGTTCTCGCGCTGCGAGAGAACACACGCTGCGAGAGAACACACGCTGCGAGAGCGGAATTCGGCGCGGATTTACGGCGAGGCAAATGGGAGTGGACTAATATGCTGTTATCTGGTAAAGTGGCCGGCGGTGCGCGCCCCGCGACGGCAGTGCGTCGGGTATATCGACCGCCTCCGGGCCGGGGCGGGCCGCTCTAATGCGCGCCGCTCACCGGCACATCATTACGGTCCCGTTTATCATAGCGTGATTAATCTGACGCCGCTTCAATCAGAGCGCACAAATTCAAACCAGCCGCGCGCGCGCCGCACTAAAATGCGTCCCGCTGATGGGTGGCACCGGCAGTCTCTATGACACGGTGGCGGCTCTGGGTCTCTATTAGTCTGTCTCGACCTTCCGTGGCCCAACACGGGCAGCTCTGATCTGAAGACAGTCGCACCACCACGTACTCCATAAACTTCCGTATTCCGACGACACTCCGGCGACACATGCGGCTCCAATCGGGCTCGTTTTACTCGGATGTAATTGCCGGCGAGCCTGTCCAGCTGGTCGCCGTAAATAAGAGGCGACGTGCGCTGCCTTTATGAGGTGACTGTGCCTCGGAGCGAGCTGTAAACACGATTCTGAACACGTGGTGACCACCAGCGACCGAGCGCTGCTCTGAGGCGCCCCTCACCATAGCGACCGTCCTCGTCCGGGCTAGGAGCGGAACGGCGAGCGTCCGTCCCCGCATCGTCCCGCATTCATATTCCGGAGCGGTGGGCTCGCGTTTTTCACCACGAGTTGCGATTGTTGATGAATGGTGCCGACCAGTGTTTGTCGCTGTTTGACGTTCGACGGGGAATCAAAAGTGGAAACTGGAAGTAGTGTTTTTAGGCGTCAGTGGCTCCTGGTAGCGCAGAGGGACCGCAGTTCGTGCTCTGCGTTCGTGTTCGCCCTGTTGTCTTGCCGACTGCACGCTGCTTTATCAATAATCGATCAAATCGGGGCACCACCGACTAATAGCAGGCGAATCAAGCGCGCCGAAATTGCCCTAATGGTGAATGATTCTGGCCCACCCCTTTGCCTACGCGTAGCGTTGTTGAAAAGGTGGCCGTGCAGTCCATGATTGAGCTGGGCCATTTATCGAGTCATTTCTTTCGTAGTGGCACACTCATCCATTTCAAGAAATAAGCGCGATTATACCCATTAGTCCTCATGAATAAGACGCCGGTGCTTTGTGCACTTCATGCACTTAGCAGCGTTGTCTGAACGACCCTTGGCGCACAGTTGGTGTACAGTTCCTACCTTGGTTGACTTTTAAATGATGGTACAACTTTCCTAGATACATTGCTGCACTCAGTGTCAGGCCCTATAACCTTAGAACGAGGACGGGGTCTTACCATGAAGCTGCATCTGTATTCTATACCTGTACCCAGTATCGGTGAACCTTCACCCATCAGTCACCATCCGTCCGGGCTACGCAAAGCGCTCTCCTCACCCGAACTTATCACGGGCGTGGCATTTCGACACTTCTGGCGACGCCGTCCACTCCGTACCCATGACCTCTCCCGAAATCCCCGCCTGCAGCAGCGGTCGTACTCAGAGGGGCTTTTCGAGGAACTGGCTTACCGTTCAGCTGTGAGAACTCGGGACGACGATGGCCCGACTGAACCCAATGATGACTGACGGCTCGGTAAGCTGAAGACTGAGCAGAAAGATTTGAGAGACAGAGCAGTGAAATACTGCACCGTCAAACTCAAAGTCTACCACAAACAGGTCGATTTCATTTGTGATTTGTAAATGAAAATATTGAAACTTCAGGACATGGCATTAGTGTGAAGGAGCACGTCAAATACTCAAAAACTTCAAAAGAAATGTCGAATTACGACGCTTTTGCCAATGAATATACAAGCGTAGTTTGTGCGTTCAAGTGAGGATATAGTATTCCTGGTATGCCCTTGGTGAGCTCATTACACCTGTTCCGTTATCCTCTGCCCATTACGCCCATTCTTCCAGACCCTCCCGTTCGTCCTCCGTCCTTCCGGTGGGAGTCGCCTTGTCTGCTCGGGTGCCATTCATTGGCCGCTGGGTGCTGCTCCTGTGTCGCGCTGGTCTAAGAGAGACCGCATGTCGGGCGAGGCGGTCCATCGACATTACCTTGCGGTTGAAGTCATGGGACGTCAATTTCCGCGTCAGCGCTAAACGGACGTATTGACGGAGGTATTTGTGGAATAGTGTGCTGCAAACGACATTTCTAGGCA